AGTGCTGGGATGACAGGCCTGAGCCACTGTGTGGGGCATATTTATTTTCATTTTTATTTTGCAGTTAGTAGTTGAAAATTTGTTGTAAAATGAAGCATTACCTTATTTTGACTCTAATTAGTCCCCATACTCTTCTATCAGAATATCCTTCAGGTAGATTTTTTTTTTCTTTTAATTTATCCAGAAGGAATAATTCAGTATGTTTTAAGTAAGGGTCAGGAATCTGTATTCTTAAAAGAATATACAGGTCTGATAGATTGAGTAGTTATCATTCCAATCCCAGAAGGTAGAAAGTAATGAAAAGTGAAGGCTAGTCAGATTTATTTAATAATCTTTTTGACTTCTGATACTTAATAGGGAAGGATTCTAAAACAGACTTCTCAGAAAAATTATGAAAACCTGCAAAATCAAGTTATGTCTACTAATAGTTTTTGCCTTTAAAGTTCTCATGAATGAACATGAAAGATGTAAATAGCACAGAAGATTGGCACACTGTTGTATGAGATAAGCTCTGGCCTAAGGGTCCTGGCTGACTAGCTGCATGTCCCATACCTTTTGGATCATAGTGATCTCATCTGTGCAATTACAGTACTGGTCTCCATGTCTTATATGCACTCTTAGGCAGATAGTGATTAAGCAGTCATGAATGGTAGTGGGGACTGAATGATGACATGAAAAGACCTAATATACCTTTGGTGTAGAACATAGCTGCTTTTAGACTTCCAGCAGAAGTATGAATATGGATGATCTGTTTGTGTGTTTGTTTTTAACTAATTCTGGGATAATTTGAAACTAATGGGAAAATTGCAAAACTATACCCTTCACCCACATTTTTCCAGATGTTAATACTTTCGTCACACTGGCTGTATGATTCTCTTTCTCTCTCTTTCCCTTACTTACAACACAATTTGGATTTACTTTTGAAAGGAAGTTGCAAGTGGGCCGGTGTGGTGGCTCACCTCTGTAATCTCAGCACTTTGGGAGACCAAGGCAGGCGCATCACTTGAGGTCAGGAGTTTGAGACCAGTCTGGCCAACATGGTAAAACCCTGTCTCTACTAAAAAAAAAAAAAAAAAAACAACAACAACAAAAATTAGCTGGGTGTGGTAGTACGCGTCTGTAATCCCAGCTACTTGGGAGGCTGAGGCAGGAGAATTGCTTGAACCCTGAAAGGGAAGGTTGTAGTGAGCGAAGATTACTGCACTCCATCCTGGGTGATAGAGTGAGACCCTGTCTGAACAAAAAAAGAAAAAAGGAAGTTGCAGGCATGATGTCTCTTACTTAAAAATACATCATTGTACGTTCCTTGACAATAAGGATATGTTTTCATATAATCACAATTATTAAAGTCAGGAAATGAACACTGATAAACCACTAATCAAAGAAGCCAGCTTTTATTCAAACTTTGCTATTTATCTCACTGATTACCTTTATAAGAAAGAGAAAAGGAAATTGATTTAGGGGCCCATTGTCAAATCGAGGATCATAGATTACTTTCATCACTTCTTTAATCTTGAACTGTTTGTGTTTTTTTATCACCTTGACATTTTTGAAGGGTGTAGTCCTGTTTTATAGAATGTCCCTCAATCTCCAGACATTTTAGATGACCTGCTTCCAATATTTAGACAACCAAATTTAAAATGTCTAGTATATGTTATAAATTGTGTTTTACATATTTATTTAATTAATTTGTAAGAGAACAGAAAGTATCCTGCCCTGGGTGAAATTAATTTGTGATACTTCATCCTTTCAGTGAATTCTAGAGTTTGGAGAATAATATTTTTTTCTTTTTCTCCCTCTTTTTTTTTTCTTGAAACAGCCTGTTGTCCAGGCTGGAGTGTAGTGGTGCGATCTCATCTCACTGCAACCTCTGCCTCCTGGGTTCAGCCAGCCCTCCCACCTTAGCCTTCCCAAGTAGCCAGGACTACAGGCACACACCACCACACTGGCTAATTTTTGTATTTTTTCGTAGAGATGGGGTTTTGCCATATTGGCCAAGCTGGTATCAGACTCCTGACCTCAAGCAATAGGCCCACCTCAGCCTCCCAAAAGTGCTGGGATTATAGGTGTGAACCACCGCGCTTGGCCAGATGTGTGAATTTCATATGAGAAGACCACTTAATCTTCTAGAACTGAATGTCTAAGATTTTTAAAAATCAAAGTCAGTGTAGTATATTAGACATATATTGTATGCCCTGTGGGCAGTAGTTCTGCTGTTGGGAACTGATAAATCAAGTAATACCTAGATGTGGGAGAAATTCCTGTTGCTTATTGGCAGGATATTTGGAAAGTACCAAATAAAACCGGCTTCTTCATTTCCTGGAGTGGGTACGTATTTAGAATTTGGTGTCGAAAATCTTTAATGTGTTAAGGAGAAGTTTGAGGTAATGATGAGAAATAGTAATGAATAAGTGCAGTGGAGGGTATGAACAGTTATGGTACTACTAAGAAATTTGTGCGAAAATAGGTGTGGAGTAATGACTTGAAAACTAGGTTAAGGCCGGGTGCAGTGGCTCACGCCTATAATCCCAGCACTTTGGGAGGCCGAGGAGGGTGGATCACAAGGTCAAGAGATCGAGACCATCCTGGTCAACATGGTGAAACCCAGTCTCTACTAAAAATACAAAAAAAATTAGCTGGGCATGGTGGCGCGCGCCTGTAGTCCCAGCTACTCAGGAATCTGAGGCAGGAGAATCGCTTGAACCTAGGAGGCAGAGGTTGCCATGAGCCAAGATCCTGCCATTGCACTTTAGCCTGGGTAACAAGAGCGAAACTCCATCTCAAAAAAAAAAGAAAAGAAAAAGAAAACTAGGTCAAAGATTTTGGAGCATATACTCTTATCAGGATGCTGTAGGTCTTTACCATAAAGTGACATCATCAAATTAGACTTTGAAAGAAAAATACAGTTGATGTGTATAAAAACGGATTGGTGAATCTTAAAGTCAGCTAATGAAGAAAAAAAAATGAACCAGATTGGAATGATAAGCAAAGCACCCTTGCCCTTCAAAAAGGGCAAGGATACAACTTCTGAAACACAGTAAAAGAAAAGAAAAAAAAGGGACAAGGATGCTAGAGAAAACCCAGTGGCTGTGCAGGATGTGATAAGGACCCAATTATGAAGAAGTAGATGGGCTAATGATCAGTTATTGTTATGAACGATTGGAACTATGTAAACAAAGAATGGAAGGGGAAAGGCTCGCAGTAGGGAGACAGTATTGAAACACTGAACTCTTGAACATTTTGAATATCATACATGGGTGCCGAGATAGTTATGTATAACTAGACCAAACAAAAATTTGATCTTAGTGATTTTGGTGTCTAAGATAGCTTGTTAAATTACATACTTTTAATGAGATATTCAAGAACTGAACCAAGGCAGTTGATGCTACATAAAAATGTACCCTCTAGATATGCTATTCAGGAAATATTTTTTGTACAACCACTTAACTGTCTGCCAGACATTGTTCTAGGCTCCAGGTAGCTAGCGTATAGGTTAATGTAATTTTATGGCTCTTGCATTGGAGAAGGGGCTGGGGATTCAAATAAATAAATGCATAATATGCTGTGTAGTGGGAAGTTCAGTGAAGAAAAGTAAAGCTAGGTTAGCAGGGACAGAAAGTAAAAGAGGAATTTACCCTCCAGAATTTAATTTTTTTTACTGCTCCCTGTCCTTGTTCTTTTTGGCCTTTAATACCTCGGTATAGTTTTACACTGACAGTGTGTCCTTGGGAATCATCTCTACCCTGCAGCCTGGATTGTATATGTAGTACTACTGTGCATAGAGTTTGCATATAATAATAGCATGATGCTGGTAGTGGATTTTGTTTTTCTGAAGTACTAAATCTGTATTTTACAACTATCTATACATTTTTTCTTTTTTAAAAGGACACTGTCAAGTACTTTTAAACAATTAATTGTAATATAAAAATGAATCCCGCCTGTATTTATTTTTATTTCTATTGACTGCTCTTTGATTTTCTTTCTTGTAATGGAACATAAGATAAAGATGCTTTTTATTCATCTGTTCTAAATGATAAGGCTCTAGGAATATTAACAGCTGTTTATTAATACTATTGTTTGTGAAGTAGTGGATTTATGTCAGATATTTTTATTTTTATTTTTGTTTTCTCTAAGACAGAGTGTTCCTCTGTCCCCAGGGCTGGAGTGCAGTGGTGCGATCTTGGCTCACTGCTACCTCTGCCTCCCAGGTTTAAGTAGTTCTCCTGCCTCAGCCTCCCGAGTAGCTGGGATTACAGGTGCATGCCAACATACCCAGCTAATTTTTGTATTTTTAGTAGACACAGGGTTTCATCATGCTGGCCAGGCTGGTCTCGGATTCCTGACCTCATGATCCGCCCGCCTTGGCCTCCCAAAGTGCTGGGATTACAGGCATGAGCGACCACGCCCAGCCTTATGTCAAATATTTTTAATAAAAATTTTAAAATCTTAAAATAGTGTATAATTTAGATTTATGACCTAATATTGTGTCTTTATAAAGTTCATATCATCAGTGGTTTAACTAAGAATTGGTTTATCTTTACATAGAAGTTTATATGACTGAATGCAAAAAGTACAGATGTAACACTCAGTGTTATTCTGTTAATAATGCGAATGAACTTCAGTCTCTTTCAGTGGCTTAAAATGTAAGTTTGCCAGCAATTTAAAGTTGCTTGTTAATGTAACTTAAAATTTTGTTGGTGGTTTAGGTGTTCTGGCATTGATAAGGGAGCATATGACACTAGATTATATAATTAAGTTTTAAACTGCTGAAGAACAAATACACATTTATTTTTCTCATGTTTTCTAGTCTTTATAGCCATATACATGAAGTATATGGGTGAGATTTTCCCCTCCAATTTTAATTTTCTGTCATAACAAGTAGGAATTAGTTGGGGTGGGGGAGGATATTTCTTTATTGACTGAATTCATAGGTGAAATAACTTTTATTTGAAGAATAACTTTGTTAGAAATACTTACTGACCATAGCTGCTTTGTTGTAGGAGGACTGACAAATGGTAGTGGTCGATATATCTCTGCAGCACCTGGAGCAGAAGCAAAATATCGAAGTGCATCAAGCACTTCCAGTCTATTTAGTTCCAGCAGCCAGCTCTTTCCTCCTTCTCGGCTTCGGTATAATAGGTCTGATATTATGCCTTCTGGCCGCAGTAGACTATTGGAAGATTTCAGAAACAACCGCTTCCCAAACCTTCAACTTAGAGACTTGATTGGACATATAGTTGAATTTTCTCAAGACCAGCATGGTTCTAGGTAGGTGGTTATGATATTTCCCACTTCATTTTTGCTTTGGAAACTGCTGCCTTATAAAGGCTTAAATTTTTTCTAGTCTGCATTAAAGTTGGAAGCTTTTAAGAGCTAAAATTCAGTATAGATTATATGTTTTTTCTTTCATGTTAAGATAAATTATAGAAACACAGGTTTTTATTTTTTATAGTTTTCCAGTTTTTTTACAGTGAGAATATTGTTATAATGAGAATATAGTAGGGCCCCCATCATTAGGTCATTTTTATTACATCAGCTGATTACATTTGTGGGCTTAAGTGTCCCTCGCTGTATGTTTAAAAAACATAGCAAACATGTTAAATGCCTTTGTATTGCTTTATAGGTTGGTATTCATGTGACTTGGCTTAGATCGAAATATTTCACATTTGTGGGCTGGGCGTGGTGGCTCACGCCTGTAATCCCAGCACTTTGGGAGGCCAAGGCGGGTGGATCACGAGGTCAAGAGATCAAGACCATCCTGGTCAACATGGTGAAACCCTGTCTCTACTAAAGATACAAAAAATTAGCTGGGCATGGTGGCGCATGCCTGTAATCCTGGCTACTCAGGAGGCTGAGGCGGGAGAATTGCCTGAACCCAGGAGGCGGAGGTTGCGGTGAGCTGAGATTGCGCCATTGCACTCCAGCCTGGGTAACAAGAGTGAAACTCCGTCTCAAAAAAAAATATATATATATATTTCACATTTGTTATAGGAAAATTTGGTGCCTTTTTACATTAAAACAGATGTAATACATGAGAGATACATCTGAATTAATATTCTCAAGATAGCTTAGAAAGGAAAGTAGAATTGTAACACATTTAGTAAATTTAAGATATTTTCTGTTTTTATAGCTTTAAGATAAACCTGAAGTTTTAAAAAAATCATTTTAGGTTAGATGGTATACAAATGTTATCTCCCAGCCAGGTGCGGTGGATCACGAGGTCAAGAGATTGAGACCATCCTGGTCAACATGGTGAAAGCCCGTCTCTACTAAAGATACAAAAAATTAGCTGGGCATGGTGGCGTGTGCCTGTAATTCCGGCTACTCAGGAGGCTGAGGCAGGAGAATTGCCTGAACCCAGGAGGCGGGGGTTGCGGTGAGCCAAGATCGGCGCCATCGCACTCCAGCCTGGGTAACAAAAGCGAAACTCAGTCTCAAAAAAAAAAAAAAAAATGTTATCTCCCTATATAGTCATGCATCACTTAATGATGGGGATACATTCTAGAAAACATGTTGTTTTGTGAACATCATAGAGTGTACCTATACAAACCTAGATGGCATAGCCTGCTACACATCTATGCCTAGGCTACAAATCTGTACAGCATATTACTGGACTGAATAATGTAGGCATTTGTAACACAGTAATATTTGTATACCTAAGCATAATAAACAACAGAAAAGATACAACAAAACTATAGTATCAAAGATTAAAAATCATATGCCCCCTCCCTCCCTCCCTCCCTCCCTCCCCGCTTCCTCCCTTCCTTCCTTCCTTCATCCCTTCCTTCCTCCCTACCGTCCTTCTTCCCTTCCTTCCTTCCTCCCCCCCCAAAAAAAAAAAAAAAATCATATGCCTGTGTAGAGTACTTACCATGAATGGAGCTTTCAGGACTCGAAGTTGCTCCAGGTAAGTCAGTGAGTGAGTTGTGAGTATATGTAAAGGCATAGGTCATTACTGTACACTACTCTAGACTATAAACACTATACACTTCAGCCACACAGAATTAATTTAAAACTTTTTTTCTTCAGTAATAAATTAACCTTAATGTAACTTTTCCCCTCTTTGAAACAAGGTCTTACTCTGTTACCTAAGCTGGAATACAGTGGCATGATCATCACTCACTACAACCTCAATCTCCTTGGCTAAGCCTCCCAACTTGCTGGGACTAGCAGGCACTTACCGTTGCACCTGGCTAATTATTTATTAATTTTTTTATAGAGACAAGATCTCACTATGTTGCCCAGGCTGAGTTTACTGTAACTTCTGAACTTTTTAATTTTTTTAAACTTACTCCTGTAATAACACTTAGCTTAGAACAGAAACACATTGTACATACAGCAGTACAAAAATATTTCCTTTATATCCTTATTCTATAAGATTTTTTTGTTTACAGACTTTTTAAAATTTATTTTTTTATTTTTAAAGATGGGGTTTCACCATGATGGCCAGGCTGGTCTTGAACTCCTGACCTCAGGTGATCCACCCACCTCGGCCTCCCAAAGTGCTAGGATTACAGGCATGAGCCACCGCACCCAGCTGTTTACAGATTTTGAAAACTTTTTGCTAAGAACTAAGAGACAATTGCACACATTAGTCTATAAAGAGTAAATATCAATATCACTCTCATCTAACTCCATGTCTTATTCCACTAGGAGATCTTTAGCAGTGACACCCATGGAGTTGTCATCTCCTATGATAACAGTGCCTTTTTCTGGAATATCTTCTGAAGGATCTGCCTGAGGATGTTTTACTTTTTTTTTTTTTAATAAGTAGAGGGGAGTACACTGTAAAATAACAATAAAAAGTACACTAAATTAGTTGTTTATTATCAAATATGCACTGTACGCATTAGATGTACTGTACTATATAGAGAGTCTGTCTCTCGGTCGCCCACGCTGGAGTGCAGAGTTACACAATCTCGGTTCACTGCAACTTTCACCTTGTGGGTTCAAGTGATTCTCCTTCCTCCACCTCCTGAGTAGCGGGGCTTACAGGCAGGCATCTGCCACCATGCCCGACTAATTTTTTTTTTTTTGGGAGACGGAATTTTGCTCTTGTTACCCAGGCTGGAGTGCAGTGGTGCGATCTCGGCTCACCACAACCTTTGCCTCCTGGGTTCAGGCAATGCTCCTGCCTCAGCCTCCTGAGTATAGCTGGGATTACAGGCACATGCCACCATGCTTAGCTAATATTTTGTATTTTTAGTAGAGACGGGGTTTCACCATGTTGACCAGGATGGTCTCCATCTCTTGACCTCGGGATCCACCCGCCTCGGCCTCCCAAAGTGCTAGGATTACAGGCTTGAGCCACCGCGGCCGGCTATTTTTATATTTTTAGTAGAGAAAGGGTTTCACCATGTTGGCCAGGCTAGTCTCAAACTCCTGACCTCAGGTGAGCCACTGCACCCAGCTGTACTATACTTTTGTAAACTGACAGTGTAGTAGGCTTATGTCACATCATGAATACCTGATAAATACATTGCATTATGATGTTATGACAGTTTCTACTCAATAACAATTTATCTCCATTGTAATCTTATGGGACCACCATTGTTTATGTGGCTTGTTGTCAATTAAAATATTGTTAAGCAAGGCATGACTGTAGTTGGCAGTTCCTTTGGAGTGACAAATGAGCCTTCTATCAATCAGCCAGAATGGCTAGCTTGGTTAGGAATTCATTGAATAAAACTGGATGAATTTTATTTCTAAGGGTTTCCTTTATTGTGTTCTAAAAGTTAAATATTTAGTAATACATTGTATATTATGAAAAATAAATGAATAACCAGCAAGATTTATATAATTTTTAATTGATTATAATGTAATCAAACCAACCTAAGAAAGATTAAACATCTTTTTATCCAGGTTTTTTGTCACTCTGTCTAGTAGATAAGGTGTTATAAAGAAGTGTTATATAACTTTTGTCCTTTTTGCTATAAGTTAGCTGTCTATCATATAAAATATGTTAATATTTCTGGAAATAACTTTCAGCATATATATTTGGAAGGGTTGGGTGTAATACTCAAGTAAAAATATTAAAGGACATATTGTCATATTAAAATATTTTTCTCTTGTAGATTCATACAGCAAAAACTAGAAAGAGCTACTCCAGCTGAGCGACAGATGGTATTTAATGAAATTCTGCAGGCAGCCTATCAATTAATGACTGATGTTTTTGGCAACTATGTTATACAGAAGTTTTTTGAGGTAAGGATGCATATATATTTGTACATCCACCCATTTAGCTGCATATTTGATGCTGAGAAAAGCTCTGAAAGTTGGGTAAAGTAGTTTTCATTGTAAAACAAGATAATCCAGGGATAAAATATTTACAAATCATATATCTGTAAAGATTTTATCCAGATTATATAATGAACACCTAAAAGTCAACAACAAAAAGACAACCCAAATGACAAATGGACAAAGGACTTGCATAGACATTTCTCTATATAAAATAATACGAAAGGCCGAATAGGTGATGAAAAGATGCTCAGCATCCTTACCAATCAGGAAAATGTAGATCAGTCTCACAGTGAGATAGCACTTTATACCTACTAAGACGGCTGTAATCAAAAAACATAAAATGGGAAAATAACAAATGTAAATGAGGATATGGAGAAATTAGAGCCCTCATAAATTGCTGGTGGAAATATAAAATGGTGTAGCTGCTGTGGAAAACAGTGTGGCAGTTTCTCAAAATTAAATATTGAATTACCATACAACCCAGAATTGTGCTCCTAGGGGTATATCCAAATGAATTGAAAACAGGAACTTGAACACCAGTATTTATTGCATCATTGTTCACAATAACCAAAAGGTGGAAACAGCCCAAGTGTCTGTCAACAGATGAATAGATAAATGCAGGTGGTATATATGTAAGTTATAGAATATTATTGAGCCATAAAAAGTAATGAAGTTCTGTTACATAGTATAACATGCATGGACCTTGAAAATACTAACTTAAGTGGCATAAGCCACACACAAAAGGACAAACATAGTAATCTACCAGTATGAAATGTCTAGAATACCAAATTAATAGTGGCATAAAGTAGATTAGGACTTACTGGGCCTAGGGAAAGAAGGGTTTAGACAGTTACCATTTAATGGATACAGTATTTTGTGTTTGAGGTTGTGGAAAAGATTTAGAAACAAATAGTGATGGTGGTTGCACAATAGTGTGAATATAATTAATGCTGCTGAATTACCTACCTAAAAATGGTTAAAATGACATACTTTGTCACAAAAAACGGTTAATATATGAACCACTTTAAATGAAATTTGCTATTAATCCCGATTCATATTTGACAGTATAAAGCATTGGTAGTAAATCTTTGGTGAAGTAGTTAATGAATAACACTGTAGTCTTTATTTGGATTTATAGATGTGTGTTACAATACAATTTAGCCAATTTTTAAATCTGTAAACATCTGTGTTGTAGCTGGACTTCACAGGTTTTATCTCAATCACATCAGAATGTAGTTTGCTGATTATCTGGGTAAGAGTTTTGGTGGTCATCGTATGGCTAGGAAAGAATTACATGTTTAAAATGAAGAGTTTTGTGAAGATGTTCACTTTAAAAGAGTGTTACTTTAGAAGGTGGTTAACATACTAGTAACAAGGAAATTTAATAAGACCTAACCAAAAAACATAATAAAATTACTATTGCAAACATCTCCTGGTCTATCTTAATTAGCTTCTACTTTAAAGCCCCTGCCCTATACAATTACTAATAGATCGAATTGACTGCAAACACCAACTTACTCAAGTTTAACAAAGCAATATTCTTTTCTGTCAGTTTGGGAGTCTGGATCAAAAATTAGCCCTGGCTACTCGTATTCGTGGTCACGTTCTACCCTTAGCCTTGCAGATGTACGGCTGCCGAGTTATTCAGAAAGCATTAGAATCTATTTCATCTGACCAGCAGGTAATTGTAAGTTAAGACAAAATTTTGTATTATTTTATTCAGTTTTTAAATTATTACATGTTTAATCTTACAATAATCTTGGAGTGAAATGACTTATTTTCACAACTAGATTAAAATATTGTTACTGTGTCCTAAATAGCACACTACTAATTAGAAGTCACAAAGTCGATAATTTCTAAGTGAAGATATTTTGGCACTTATGTGTCAAGCAGAATGCTAAATGATAAATGTTTTTATTACCACTTGCTTACTTGATTTTCTGCAATGTGAGAATGAATGCTACTATTTTCCAGTGTTTATTTTGATGCTGTCTAACGTTTCTATTAGAAGAAAACTTTTAGAACCAATAGCATTTACTATATGTCAGTTTTGTTTATATGTATATGAAAATGTTTTTTTAAAAAAACATAGCCCAGATCATGTACTCCTGGGACTTTTTTTCCCTAGTTGATCAAAATAATGCTTAAAATCATTTGAAATAGACAAGAATATTGAGAGTAGGGGAGGGGATGAAGATAAATTCACCAGATTTTTAAAATACACTTTGAAGCAACACTAATTAATTAGTGGGGTTATTGTATAAGATTAAACAGACTTTTAATAAGAAATTTTTTAGCCCTGGCCAGGCGCAGTGGCTCAAGCCTGTAATCCCAGCACTTTGGGAGGCTCAGGCGGGTGGACCACAAGGTCAAAAGATCGAGACCGTCCTGGTCAACATGGTGAAACCCTGTCTCTACCAAAAATACAAAATAACAGCTGGGCACGGTGGTGCGTGTCTGTAATCCCAGCTACTCAGGAGGCTGAGGCAGGAGAATTGCCTGAACCCAGGAGGCGGAGGCTGCGGTGAGCCGAGATTGCGCCGTTGCACTCCAGCCTGGGTAACAAGAGTGAAACTCCGTCTCAAAAAAAAAAAAAAATTTTTTTTTAGCCCCAAATTGATACTGTTTTCTGACTACCTGATTTATGTATTACAATGAAAGCATAAGACTGAAGAAGATAATTCTTTCTCAAAAGGAAATGGTAGTTTAAGTTTGGAAAGAGATTGTCTTTGACTCATGCAATGAAAGTAAATTCCAGTAAATAGTAATAAATGTATGAATGGCTATATATGTGTATATATTCATCACTGCATTAAAAATCTGTGAGAAAATACTGTTATTCCTCCAGAGGAAATGCAAGTTTTAGAGTAATTTGAAGTTATGTCACAATGGAGAAATATAAACACATTTGATTATTTAAAAGGTTAGAACTTCTCTGCCATAAGTTTCTAACCGGTATAGATATTTTTTAAATGTCTTTGATATTTAAAAATTAAAGCATTAAAGTAAGACTTTGTTGATACTGTTAATGGATAATAGTATTTTTTTGTTCTGTTTTGTTTTTGACAGAGTCTTGTTCTGTTGCCCAGGCTAGAATGTGGGGCAATTTTGGCTTACTGCATCCTCTTCCTCCGAGGTTCAAGCAATTCTCCTACGTCAGCCTCACAAGTAGCTGGGATTACAGATATGTGCTACCATGCCCAGCTAATTTTTGTGTTTTTAATAGAGATGGAGTTTCACCTGTTGGCTAGGCTGGTCTTGACCTCCTGACCTTGTGATCTGCCCACCTCGGCCTCCCAAAGTGCTGGCATTACAGACATGAGCCACCACACCTGGCCTTTGGATTCTTAAGCATGTTTTATTTTGTAATTTAGTCCATTTTAGTTATTTGTTGAGACAGAGTCCCACTCTGTCTCCCAGACTGGAGTACAGTGGCACGATGTCAGCTCACTGCAGCCTCTGCCTCCTGGAGTCAGTTGATTCTCATGCCTCAGCCTCCTCAGTAGCTGGGACCATGAGTGTGAGCCACCACAACTAGCTAATTTTTTGGTGGGGGATAAAGATGAGGTTTCACCAGGAAGGTCTGGCTGGTCTCAAACTCCTGGCCTCAGGTGATCCGCCCACCCCAGCCTCCCAAAGGGCTGGGATTACAGGCATGAGCCACGGCACCCAGTGATTTTAGTTCATAATCAAACATCTGTATTGGCCAGGTGTGGTGGCTCATACCTGTAATCCCAGCACTTTGGGAGGCCAAGGCGACTGGATCACCCAAAGTCAGGAGTTCAAGACCAGCCTGGCCAGCATGGTGAAACCGTGTCTCTATTAAATAATAATAAATAAATAAAATTAAACATTAGCCTGACTTAACAGGATTCACCAAGGTTACTTCAAAATGTAGTTCAAAGTCCTTTGGGTGAAAGATTTTAAATATGAATGCCTTTAGATTGAATATGTGTACTCCATTTCTCCACAGTACTATTTTTTATTGCTTTAATAAAGCACACAGATGATTTTATCAATATTAAAAGCTATATAAAGTTTTATGGGTTTTTTGTTTTGTTTTGGGACAGTCTCACTGTGTCACCCAGGTTGGAATGCAGTGGCACAGCCTCAACTCACTGCAACCTCCGCCTCCCAAGCTCAAGAGATCCCCACTTCAGCCTCCCAAGTAGCTGGAACCACAGGCATGCGCCACCACGCCTGGCTAGTTTTTTATATTTTTGGTAGTAACTGGGTGTCACCATATTGCCCTGGCTGGTCTCAAACTCCTGAGCTCAGATGATCCCCCAACCTCAGGCTCCCAAAGTGCTGGGATTACCAGTGTGAGCCACCACACCTGGCTGTAAATTCTTTTATTATAAGACCATTTTAAAAAAGAACAGGGCCAGGGGCAGTGGCTCATGCCTGTAATCCCAGCACTTTGGGAAGCCGAGACGGGTGGATCACGAGGTCAAGAGATCGAGACCATCCTGATCAACATGGTGAAATCCCGTCTCTACTAAAAATACAAAAATTAGCTGGGCATGGTGACACATGCCTGTAGTCCCAGCTACTCAGGAGGCTGAGGCAGGAGAATTACTTGAACACAGGAGACAAAGGTTGCGGTGAGCGGAGATCGCGCCATTATATTCCAGCCTGGGTAACAAGAGCAAAACTTCATCTCAAAAAAAAAAAAAAAAAAGGTGTCCGACATTAATTCTTCCCTTAGGGAATTATTGAGATAATATGTAAAAATCACAAAGTCCATAAGTAGTCGTCAACTCCCTTTCATTTTCTATGTACTTGATAAACTCACTCAGCCATTAAAAATAATTCCTTTGGTGGTGGAGGTGGTACTAAGTAAGGCAAAAGTATAGAATTCTGAATAGTCATATTAGTTACCACCTGCTAAATATCATTGGATGATTTACACAGTGAAGGCAGTTTAAATATAGCAAATTCAGTATCACTAGGTTGTTTCAACATACATCATTTATACTATAATCCTGCAGTATGTTTTAGTAATTTTCACTTTTCAGTGGTTTCTGCTAATTATACTACAAGAGAAAAAAATTTAAACTCTTGACAAACCAGAAATAATATTTTTGAATATATTTTTGTTCTCATCTCAGTATTTTTAATCTGAGATAAATATACTGAGATGTTTAATTTTTAGTACTGAGTTAAAATGTACTAGTATTTTCTCATTTGAGGTAATTATTTAAATCATATCCTATGTTTTGCAGAGTGAAATGGTAAAGGAGCTGGATGGTCATGTGCTGAAATGTGTGAAAGATCAAAATGGAAACCATGTTGTACAAAAATGTATCGAATGTGTTCAGCCACAGTCACTGCAGTTCATCATTGATGCTTTCAAGGGACAAGTATGTTTGAATTTTGGCTTATAATTTGTTAGCAGGCATTATTTTAGAATTTTGAATATCAACACGTTTTTCATAAGTCACTAGATAATACCCAGCACTTGCATACAAAAATAGGATACAAAACAATAAATGTACATTAATTTCTTCCTCTTCCATAGGCAGTAGATAGCTTCATTTTTCTCAAGCTGCAAAACAGAAATAAGAGTTTAGTGACATTACTATAAGAAGTAAAGGTAATTAATCACTGTTAGAATTATTTTTTATTTATACCCAACAGTGTTTTTCAGGTTTTCTCAGAGAAGGGAAGGAAGTTTGGAGAAAGACATAAGACTGTATAATAAGACAGAAAATACGTAGCAATTTGTAACTAATACATAGTAATTAATAGTTCTTAATGCTAAACTACCCTTTCTCTTTTTGCCCATTCATTCTCATCATTACATAACCTCAGTGTTCTGGTTAGATTCCTTTTGATCAAAGTATCTTCAGCTCCTAAATGGAGTGCTCTCTGCCCTCACTCTCCAGTCTTTGCTAACATGGTGGTAGTCATTAAATGTGAGCTCATCACCCTTCTATTTTAACTACTTTAAGGTGCTTGTTGTTCAGAAAACCAGTCTGCTTCAACAAACTGTTTAAAAATGTCAGAGAATACAAATTTTAATTCTTCTAATTGTCCTCAGGTATTTGTGCTTTCAACTCATCCTTATGGCTGCAGAGTAATTCAGCGCATCCTAGAGCATTGCACTGCAGAACAGACCTTACCTATCTTAGAAGAACTCCACCAACATACAGAGCAGTTGGTACAGGTATAAATTCCCTAACAATTTGAAATATTTATATATTTTTATTTTTTATATATTTTTGGAAATTGTATTAATTTTTAAAAGAAATATAATTTGTTATTAACACACTATAGAAAGAGTGAGACAGACAAAAGCCTGTTGTATTCTCCTAACTATATACAACTGGATTTTTAGACAGAATTATTAACATGTCTTCAAAGAATAATCATTCTTATGGAATGACTTAGGGAAAGTAATTTTTAAATATCTGTCCTTAGGATCAGTACGGAAATTATGTTATTCAGCATGTACTGGAACACGGTCGACCTGAAGACAAGAGCAAAATTGTTTCCGAAATCAGAGGAAAGGTTTTAGCCCTGAGTCAACACAAATTTGCCAGGTATTCCCATACTTTCTAATTCCAGGAGTCAGTTCTTTCATCTCAATGACTTTTATTAGTTATCACAGAAATACATGTAGAATGTAGCATTAAACTGTAGTCTTTTTTTTTTTTTTGGTGTCATTAAAACACATCTGTAGAACGTTGCTTTTATTTTTATTATTTGAGATGGAGTTTTGCATCTTGTCCAGGCTGGAGTGCATTGGCGCAGTCTTGGCTCACTGAAACCTCCATCTCCCAGATTTAGGCTATTCTCCTGCCTCAGCCTCCTGTGTAGTTGGGATTACAGGCACACACCACCACACCCAGCTAATTTTTTTTTTTTTTTTGAGACAGTATCTCACTGTCACCCAGGCTGCAGTGCAGTGGCATGATCTCAGCTCACTGACTCACTGCAGCCTCTGCCTCCTGGGTTCCAGTGGCGTGATCTCAGCTCACTGGCTCACTCTGACCTCTGCCTCCCAGGTTTCAGCAATTCTCCAGCCTCAGCCTCCCGAGTAGCTGGGACTACAGGCACTCACCACCATGCCTGGCTGATTTTTATGTATTTTTTAGTAGAGGTGGGGTTTCACCATATTGGCCAAACTGGTCTCAAACTCCTGACCTCATGATCCACCCGTCTCGGCCTCCCAGAGTGCTGGAATTGCAGGCAGAACCACCACGCCCGGCCCTAATTTTGTATTTTTAGTAGAGACAGGGCTTCACCATGTTGGCCAGGCTGGTCTTGAACTCCTGGCCTCAGGTTATTCGCCTGCCTTGACCTCCCAAAGTGCTGGGATTACAGGCATGAACCACCGTGCCTGACTCCATTGCTTTTATTTAAAAAAAAAAAAAAAATCTGTTTTGTCTACATGTTGTTTATTTATAAAATGTGTATTTGGAAAATAGTTTTTCCCAACACTGGACATGCAAATGTGTTTAGTGTGTGTTCTTGAAAGCCTCACAAACTCTAATGACCTGATTTCCTTTTTTTGAAGTATAATTTTAAGAGGCCCATAATTAAACTTGTGGATGTCAAAATGATGTAGGTTGTTCCATGATATCAATTTCTGTAATAAAAGTAATTGGCCTGGTGCAGTGTCTCACAGGTGTTATCCTAGCACTTCGGGAGGTTAAGGCAGGAGGATCACTTGAGCCAAGGAATTCGAGATCAGCCTGGGCAACATAGGGAGAGATCCTTTGTCTACAAAAAATACAGAAAATTATTCAGGCATGGTGGCACATGCTTATAGTCTCAGCTCTGAGGGAGGCTGAGATGGGAGAATCACTTAAGCAAGGGAGGTCAAGGCTGCAATGAGCCATGATAGCATCACTGCACTCCAGCGTGGGTGACAGAATGAGACTCGGTCTCAAAAAAAAAAAAAAGAACAAAATAAAAGTAATCATAAGACAAGAATCCCATCGTGACTTCTGTTTTATCATGCATTGGAGAAAATTCTTTCAAAAGTCAAGAGAATTTTGCTGTAAAGAAAAAAATAACAAAGTTTTGTTTATCTGCTTTAATTTTTAGCAATGTAGTAGAAAAGTGTGTTACTCATGCCTCCCGTGCTGAGAGAGCTTTACTGATTGACGAGGTTTGCTGCCAGAATGATGGTCCTCACAGTGCCTTATACACCATGATGAAGGACCAGTATGCCAATTATGTGGTTCAAAAGATGATTGATATGGCTGAACCTGCTCAGAGAAAGATAATCATGCATAAGGTAATACAGCATATAACACTCAGATAACTTTGTTCGTCTTTGTGTTTAGGCTACACATTTAACTTCCTTGGGCTTTCATTTCCTCCTGTATTGTTAGAACTGGAGGAAAAAATTAAAATTGATGGATATCCTTTGGCAGATATTGGTATGATTTCCCTTTTTATTCTTAAGGCACCATGCCCAGCAGATTGGGAGGCTGAGGTGACAAGATCACTTGAGCCCCAGGAGTTTGAAACTAGCCTGAGCAACGTGGCAAGATCCTCTACCAAAAAAAAAAACCAATTAGACTAGCATCGTGGTGCATGCCTTTAATCCCAGCTACTTGGGAGACTGCTTGAGCTCAGGAGTACAAGGCCAGTCTGGGCAATATAGTGAGACCCCCTTCTCTATAAAAAATTTAAAATTAGCTGAGCATAATGACACATGCCTGTGGTCCCAACTACTCAGGCGGCTGAGATGGGAGGATCGCCTGAATCCTGGAAGTCGACGCTACAGTGGGCTGTGTTCATGCCAGTGCACTCCAGTCTAGGCAACAGAGCAAAACCCTGTCTCAAAAAAATAATTGAAAAGAAATTCTTAGGGAATCATACTCATTTCTCATCTGTTACCTATGTTTTACATTGTTCTTTTTGCCTTCATCTTATTTAACTGTACAGTTGTCCCTCAGTATTTGTGGGGGATTGGTTGCAGGACCCACCCACTCCTGTGCCAAAATTTACAGATGCTCAGGTCTCTTATATAAAATGGCATATAGTATTTGCATATATCCTAATCACATCCTCCCATATATTCATCTCAAGATTACTTATGATACCTAATGCAATGTAAGTGCTATGTAAATAGTCATACTGTAATAATAAGTAAAAAATCTGGGCCGGGCGCAGTGGCTCACGCCTGTAATCCCAGCACTTTGGGAGGCCGAGGTGGGTGGATCACAAGGTCAAGAGATCGAGACCATTCTGGTCAACATGGTGAAACCCTGTCTCTACTAAAAATACAAAAACTTAGCTGGGCATGGTGGCCCGTGCCTGTAATCCTAGCTACTCAGGTGGTTGAGGCAGGAGAATTGCCTGAACCCAGGAGGCGGACGTTGTGGTGAGCCGAGATTGCGCCATTGCACTCCAGCCTGGGTAACAAGAGCGAAACTCCGTCTCAAAAAAAAAAAAAAAAATCTGTTTAATACAAACTTTCTCCTTTTAAAAATGTGCTTTTGACCAGTGGTTGGTTGAATCCACGTATACCGATGGCAGACTATGTTTAATTTACTGTAATACATGGGTTGAACATTGATTTTTATTCTAATTCATTTTTCTAAGTAGAATTTTGTGTTTATGTTGTGGGAGGTAGTACTAATTCATCATCGTTTCCCTTTAAGCTGTTTTCTCTCAGTATCTTCCTCCTAGAATCTAATAGTTCTTTAAGAAATTAGTAATTGTAGTAGGGAAACTTACTGTTATAAAGAACACTGAAAGAAACATTTATTTTGAATACCCTTCTTTTCCTAAATGTATTCATTTACAAAACATGGAGCAAAGTACATAACCCCCTTTGGTCCTCTCCTCATATAGAGAGAAAATTGGTATCTTAAGATTCCTTCCATCTATAAAAGTGTTTTGGACTTCTGATTTTTAAAATGCATTCTTCAACTTGATGTAAGTTTTCCTTTTTCTTTTCTTTTTTTCTTTAAAGACAAGGTATCTGTTGCACAGGCTGGAATCCAGTGGTGGGATCTCAGCTAACTGTAGCCTCAACCTCCTGGCTGAAGTCATCCTACCACTTTAGTCTCCCTAGTAGCTGAGACTACAGGCACACAAGCTCACTGTTTTGTTTATATTTTATAGAGATAGGGTCTCGATATGTTGCCCAGTCTGGTTTCAAACTCCTGGGCTCAGGCGATCCTCCCATCTCATTCTCCCAAATTACTGGCATCTGCATTTCTACCTGTCTTTTAATTTAGTATTGTATATAAACTAATGAGGATTACAAAATGCAATCTTATTTTTAATAGCTACATTATTAACTGATATCATATTTGTTATATTTGGATTGTCCCTAATTGTTTAATTGTTATAAATAGTGCTTTGTACAAAAGTCTTTTCATAATTTTTTTAGTAGAATACATTTCTGGATGTGGAATCACTGGGTAACTTTCTTGCTATATTTGGGGCCTCTGCGTATTTACATGTAACATAATTAGATGTAGTGTTTTTTTATTCATTGAACAATTTCGAGAACAGATGTTTAGAAGGATTGAGTGGATCACAACTGCTTTTGCAAAAAGTAGCTTTCTTTGGATTTAGATTTTTTAAATTGCAATTAGTCTTCTAAATTACCCAGATTTAGAGGTGCTTTTTTAAGAAATCAGAAACTAAAATGACTTAGATTTTCTAAGCAGATTATGTGTGTTTCAGATTCGACCTCACATTACTACTTTGCGCAAATACACATATGGGAAGCATATACTGGCCAAGCTGGAAAAGTATTATTTGAAGAATAGCCCAGATCTAGGACCTATTGGAGGACCACCAAATGGAATGCTGTAAATTACAGAAGCAAGAGAAAGAAGATAATTTAACCATGTGAAAAGATTTTTGTGTGTGTGTGAATTATCAAAACACAACTCAACTATGAATCTTCAATTTTTTTTTTAAAACAAAACTATTTATTGACTTTATTCATCCATTTGTAAATTTTTTAAGGTTCTTGTGTATATTTGGGGGGTGGGGGATGAATTATAAATTATATTCAGCCCTGAGTGGAGACCTATCAGATTGGATTGCTGGCAAAGCACAGAATGCCTGTATATGATGTAACTGTATCAAAAATAAAAAGCTGTCTCATATTTTGTAAATTTTTACCTTGTAAAGTCACAAAAATAGTTTTTAAAGGAAAAAGTACAGTATTCTTTTAATAAACTGGCTCACAGTCTGGTAGGTCTACAACCCCATAGCACAACAGGTTTATAGAGATGTATATAGAATTATAGTCCTTATTTTTTTCCTTTGTGTGAGACCTTTTATAACAGATTAACAATCAACTGCATAAATATTATTAATATTTTAAAAAGAGTTAAGTTGTATTTTGGTAATTCACAAACTATCATGCAAATAATGAGCAAGTAAGACAAGAATAAAATGATTTGAGATGAAAAGAACATTATTTACAGTAGATATGGTTTTAATACAAATACTGCCCTAAAATGTCTCTGGCAATGTACAAAAATATTGTATATACTTACATATGTAATTGTTGTAAGAGTTAAGAAATACAAAATCATGGTGACACTTCCAATTAAGTGCACTAAATGAAAAGTTAAGTCATATATTAACTTTTCAGTTTGGTTTGCAATGAGAAAGAGTGAAAATTTGTGTTTTGTTTTGCTTAGAATTACAAAGACATGTTGAGGAAGTGTTGAGTTTTATTTTGCTTTTTCATAGAGGCAGAAAGTAGGAACCAGATAGAGGTGAAAAGGGGCCACTGAAAAGTGAATTTGATAGCTCAGCATTTACGCATGATTACATATTCAGATAGCTCTTTTTGCTTTCTATAAATATATGCATTGTGTGTGTAGTAATAGATGTAAGTTTACACTTTGAAAGGAAATCTTGTTTCAATGTTTATTATAAAAGCCTTGCTTAATTTGGTAGTGATGCTTTCCTTGGTTGTACAGGTGTACATTTGTAAACCTTCATGCTGTAAATGAAATTTGTTTTATCTCTTTGGGATACATTTGCATTTTAGTGTACATTTATGTCCCTGCCCTCTTTGACCTGGCAATATAGTGTTGTATAATGTAAATTTATTTCTCCAAACCGAGAGTGATTTTTTTAAAATTTTTTATCTTTATATGGTTTCAGAAGTATGAACCAGGTTTCTTTTTATTATTGTGAGATCATTTTGTTTTATAACATAGTTGTTGACTGTTAATATGGACATGCTAGAATTTGGATCACTTTCAATTGAAGTCAGGGTATTGTGCATAACAGAAAGTATTGGACTGAGATATTTGGTTACCATGGAGGCCAATGCTTTTTTCATCTTATTAAATGTGATGTGACTTTTTTCTTTGTACAGAAGAGTACTGTATTTTTGAATAGCCTACTCCCAAGTAAGAGCAAATCTGTATGATAACATTTTTTTCTCTGGACATAAGACATAACAGTAACACGATGTACATTTACAAGCGGCCTTATGTACATTTCCCAACAATCTTTTTAAGGCAAAATTGTGACCATATGTGTATAATTAAAATCATTTTTAATCCTTTGCCTATGAAAATATTTTGGAAAAAAAACTTGCTGTGTATATTCAGTTTCTGAAAGATAAAGAAAGTGCTTTGTATTTTGTTGAAGTCAGTATTTTGTATAAACATTTCTGTTGACCCACTTATGTTTAGTGCTGAAAACTAAAATGAACATACTATCTCTGTCAGCTGAATATGGAAGAGATCTGTTTTTACTAGAGATCTGCAGAAGAAAAGCTATCTTCTGAGCACAGTGTGGAATCTAAAGGTTTTATCACTTAGTTGTTCATATTATGAACCTAAAAATAATGGCATAAAGTTTGGGGATGCCAGGCATACCTTTTCATGTTTGGTGTTTAGTTATTTTAGTTTTCAAACCCAACATTCCTTGGTGAGGCCATTAAATCCAAATACTTGTCGCTGTTCCATCTGATAGTCACACAGGGTCATCAACATGTACCAGTCACTGTAGCAGCACCTTTTTTTTTTTTAACCCACACAAAGCCGCGCTCTCACTTTTTCCTACTTTGCCAACCTCAGAGTATTTCGGCCCATGTTAAGACTTTTGTTCCCAGTGTCAGCCCATGGTTTCAGGATCAAAGCTGTCATGTTGGAGATTGGTAATGACTTTCCTGTCTTTGTACAGTTGAATTCCTAGTCTTCCTTCATCCTTGCTGTCTGTTGGCAGAGGCATTATCTCTGCAATTTTAGAAAATGACAAGTACTAGAGAATATTACATTGAGAAACTAAACCCTCGGGATTCTGATACTCCCACGTGTCCCAGTGCTGACAACCCAGTCTTTCCAATACTTTCAGGCCTGCTCTACAAAAATAACTTCTTGTAGAAGTTTTACAGTTTGCCATTTTGGGTACCCACCCCAATTTTTACCTTTTAGTAAGTTGGCATGAAATTTTGGTAAAATCTGAAAATGACATTTCAGAATAAAGAAACAATTGGGCTAAACTACCTAGGCTTTACTTGAGTGTCTCCTTTTGATATGGATTGTTTCTGGACCAGTTTGTCTTAAGTCCTGGCTCTTAATTGGTTCATATGAAATAATGTTTAACTTCACTTCTTTGTATATTATGTATAAATTAGAAAATGAAAAATGTGTGAATAACATTGTATGAAATAAACCTGGTCTTGTGTTTTTCTCTAGATAAAATACCCCTCTCTACCTCAGTTATAATTTAAAACTGACTGCCTGTTCAGGTTTGCTCTGACTTTAGGAAAACAAATACATTTTTAACATGGGTGCTCTTCTGGAGCCGCTGATTCCTCTGATGGTATTAATTATCTCCTTTGATTAGTATTAAGAATATGTAATTGCATACTTCACAGAACAAAACTGTAGCCTCTTTCCACATGAACTTGAGGAGGCAGTGTTACCTAAAGGTAAATATAACTCAAGTTTAGGTGTAGATTTGAAGGTTACTACTTACAAACCATGTGAACTTATCTAAGCCTTGAGGCCCTAATCTGTATCAAGGGATACTACTACTAAACTCAGTTTTAATTGAGAATATGCAAAAAGATAACCTAAACGTAATTTTTTTTTTTTTTAGGAGATGGAGTCTTGGCCGGGCGCGGTGGCTCACGCCTATAATCCCAGCACTTTGGGAGGCGGAGGTGGGTGGATCACTAGGTCAAGAGATCGAGACCATCCTGGTCAACATGGTGAAACCCCGTCTCTACTAAAAATACAGAATTTAGCTGGGCATGGTGGTGCAGCCTGTAGTCCCAGCTACTCGGGAGGCTGAGGTAGGAGAATTGCTTGAACCCAGGAGGCAGAGGTTGCGGTGAGCCAAGATCGCGCCGTTGCACTCCAGCCTGGGTAAGAAGAGGAAAACTCCATCCCCCCCCAAAAAAAAAGAGACGGGTCTTGCTATGTTGATCAAGTTGGTCTTCAACTTCTGGCCTCAAGTGATCTCCCACTTTGGCCTCGCAAAGTACTGGATTACAGGCATGTGAGCCATTATGCCTGCCTGGCTAAGAACCTAGTTCTTAATGAATTGCTTGTTAATACCATTTCTGTTTTTCTTACTCTGTCTATTAACTATAAGAAGAAAAAAGGCCAGGCGTGGTGGCCTTTGGAGGCCAAGGCGGGCAGATCACCTGAGATCGGGAGTTCAAGACCAGCCTGACCAACATGGTGAAACCCCATCTTTAAAAAAAAAAAAAAAAGAAAAGCTGGGCCGGGCGCGGTGGCTCACGCCTGTAATCCCAGTACTTTGGGAGGCAGAGGCGGGTGGATCACGAGGTCAAGAGATCGAGACCATCCTGGTCAACAAAGTGAAACCCCGTCTCTATTAAAAATACAAAAATTAGCTGGGCATGGTGGTCGCGCCTGTAGTCCCAGCTACTCAGGAGGCTGAGGCAGGAGAATTACCTGAACCCAGGAGGCGGAGGTTGTGGTGAGCCGAGATCGTGCCATTGCACTCCAGCCTGGGTAGCAACAGTGAAACTCCGTCTCAAAAAAAAAAAAAAAAAGAAAAGCCGGAACAATTTGATAGGCTCCAAAATGGAAACCTACATAAAGCTAAGTGTTAACATGAAATGTCATCACACACAGTGTTTATCCTGAAATTTAACTTTGTCTTGATTTGGCTCTCGGAGCAACCCTTTTGAATTATTGACATACTACCTCATATTATATTGAAAAGAAAATACCACATCTTAACAAGCAAATACCACATCTTTGCATCCTGCCTTACCAACCTAAGGAAAACAGTTTTCTAAATTCACCGGGGTCATAGTTATTCATTATATGCCATCATAACAGCACTTTCTCCAGAATATTTTTAAAGCGGCAAGGGACAAAGAAACCCCAATTAAGGAGCCATATTCACTGTTCATCTTCCCTACCTCACTTAAAAGTATCTAGCTTAACTTGCCTGGTAGAATATATTTACCAATAATATATTTACCAAGAACTACATCCAGGTCTTTCAGAAAATGTATCTAGGAACAGGGAGATGAGAAGGAATGGAGTGCTGAGACTGTCAGCCCTCACTCCTAGGAGGCTGTTCTACTCGAGCACTGCACTGCAGAGGGAAGGAGCCAGGGCCAGCACGGGGCTGGGCGTTTGTTGTTTGTAGAGGTTCTATCCTGACTTTCCCACAGAACCTTGTGGCTGAGGAATATATTTGGTTTATTTGAGACAAGATCTGGCTCTCACCCAGGCTGAAGTGCAGTGGCGCCATCACTGCTCACTGCAGCCTCGACCTCCCAGGCTCAAACAAGTTTCACATCTCAGCCTCTGAAGTAGTTGGGACCACAGGCACATGCTACCATGCCCAGCTACTTTTTGTATTTTTTTTTTTTTAAGAGATGGAGTCTCCCTGTGTTGCCCAGACTGATCTCAAACTGCTGCTCCAGCAATCTGCCAGCCTCAGACTTCCAAAGTGCTGGGATTACAGCTGTGAGCCACCGTGCCCAGCCAACTCTTAATACAGGATGAAACAGGACAGGATAGGTCCTGTAGCCACGTTCTCTAGTTTCTTCGATGTTCCATTCATAGAACTTTTTTTTAAGAGCACAGAAATAACTCTTCAGCTTGTTGATTTTCACAAATAAATACTCATGAATCCAGGATTTAAATCAAGAACCAGAACATTACCAGCACCCAGAAACCTTCCCATGCCCACTTCCACTGAGTGGCCCTTTCAACCCTTACGAAGCCAAAAAGCACAAGTCCTGGGCCCTGTGGCCTTAATGAGTGACACCCTGGACCAGTCAGACCCAGTGACTTGGGAAAACGCTCCTCTTAATGATAAATGTGAAGCAACTCATGACTGCATCTCTGGCACCACCCCAGCGGAAGCAGAAGTGCCACAGAAATTTAAAAACGTATTTACCAATAACTAAAAACAGGTGAAATTGTCTTCTATTTGGTAGTTTAAATGGAAGAAATTGGCCGGATTAAAATTGATTCAAAGGCCGGGCGTGGTGGCTCACGCCTATAATCCTAGCACTTTGGAAGGCAGAGGTGGGTGGATCACGAGGTCAAGAGATCGAGACCATCCTGGTCAACGAAGTGAAACCCCGTCTCTACTAAAAATACAAAAATTAGCTGGGCATGGTGGTGCGCGCCTGTAGTCCCAGCTACTCGGGAGGCTGAGGCAGGAGAATTGCTTGAACCCAGAAGGCGGAGGTTGCGGTGAGCCGAGATCGTGGCATGGTAACAACAGCGAAACTTCGTCTTAAAAAAAAAATTGATTCAAATGTCACAGCTCTTTTGGAATTTGTCTAGCAGGTTTTCTAGTTTTTACCGGAAAACCCAAAGACAGATTGAATCAAACTTTCTTGGGCGTCAGAAAGTAATGATTCAGAGTTTGGGCTCTAGAATTAGACTGCCCAGACTCCAAACACTGTGGCTTCATATCTAATAGATAAGTGGTTTCATCTTTTAAGCCTTAGTTTCCTCGTGTTGGTAAAGGGAAGGGTGACCCGCTGAGATTGTAAAGATTACAGAGAATATACGTGAAGTGCCATGACAAGTGGGTACTTGGTACATAGCTACTACAGCAACTCTTATGCATCACTCATAGTTAAAATAAGCTTTCGTTTTTTAAAATTTGGTTACATGCAGCCTCAAAACATGGTTTGGAGATAATGTTTCTGCAAATGAGCAAAACTCTTTTTTTTTTTTGAGACGGAATTTCACTCTTGTGGCCCGGGGTGAAGTGCAATGGTATGATCTCGGCTCACTGCAACCTCTGCCTCCCGGGTTCAAGCGATTCTCCTGCCTCAGCCTCCCGAGTAGCTGGGATTACAGGCATGTGCCACCACACCCAGCCAATTTTCGTATTTTTAGTAGAGACAGGGTTTCTCCATTTTGGTCATGCTGGTCTCGAACTCCCAACCTCAGGTGATCTGCTCACTCAGCCTCCCAAAGCACTGGGATTACAGGTGTGAGCCACCGCGCCCCACCTGGAGTTGATCTTTCTAAACGTGATTGCTCAGACACGCCCTGCCTTCTCGAACAAGCAAAGAACCCTACCCATCTCACTCAACTGCCACATATGCCGGCCCGCAGCCTCATCACAGGGCACATCTATCACCTCCTATCACTGCTAGCCCAGGCCTCGCCCCTCAGGCCCCAACCCTGACATCCTGCAGCCTGGAATCCCACAGCTTCAGTCACGTGGCCATTGGCCCCCTTTCCCCAAACGTGTCCGAAACCGAACCATCTCCTTGCACCACACCTTATTTTGCTCTTCCTCTTCCCTTCCGCACTTAGAGCCACAGGAGGGGCGACTAAATTTTTTAGTATAACTATATCCCAAACATTGCATAGGACATAATTATACATTTTATAAAAAAAAAAAAAAGTTCATTTGAAATTCAAATGTAACTGGGCATTCTGTTTTGATTTGCTAAATCTGACAACCCTATTGCCCCTGTCTCTGGCCAGTCAGTTCCTCCCCCTCTCCTGGAGCCAGCCCTGGAGCTTCCCTGGACAGATCCGGTGACAGCTGTTCCAGGGACAAGGTCGCTCGCGTGATGGCTCATTATTGCAATTGCTTGTTTTCTTCCGTTTCTCCAACCACACTGTGAGCTGCTGGAAGGTCAGACTGTGTGTTTCTCTTTACCCCAAAGCCTGATGTTAAGTGCTTAGGAAATGCGACTGCAGAGCCAGTAGGAAGTAAGTGCGTTTTTAAAGGCAGTGTCTCTCTGTCATACAACGATGCCCTGGGACGCTGTACCCAGGGGCCTACACTCCCAAGTTCTCTGGGTTACTTTTGAAAACCATTATACTTGAGCAAATTCTTATGGTGAAAAAGTTTCCCTCTGGGCGCGGTGGCTCACGCCTGTAATCCCAACATTTTGGGAGGCCGAGGCGGGCGGATCAAGAGGACAGGAGTTCGAAATCAGTCTGACCAACATGGTGAAACCCGTCTCTACTGAAAAATACAAAAATTAGCATCACCACGGAAATGCAAATCAAAACCACAATGAGGTATCATTTCACACACATTGAGATTAGCAAATAAAAGAAAAAAAAAAGGAACTAGAAAGTAAGGCTCACACCTGTAGTCCCAGCTGCTCGGGAGGCTGAGGAAGGAGAATCGCTTGAATCTGGGAGGCAGAGGTTGCAGTGAGCCTAGATCTTGCCACTGCACTCCAGCCTGGG